ATAAACTAATTTTGTAGTTACGTTTTCAAATGTATTGCTTATAAAATATTATTGACAATATATATAACAATTACTATTGTAGAAAGAAGTTTTTTTTTAAATTAAAGTTGCTCAAATCCTTTTTAAGATCAAGTATTTTACAAGATAGATTGAATGAATTAGCCTTAATATCTAACAGGAGTGAAATGTTAGAATTATTCAATCGCAAAATTTTATTAGTTGATTTTGCAGCTTAAAAGATTGGAAAAATAATATAAGGATTTGATAAATTACTATATGTTTGGCCCTTTTACTCATTTTGCTTTAAGCCTCAAAATCTCTCGAATCAACCTTGAATGAATTCATTAGAAATGATTGATAAAAAGAGCTGAAGCAAAGTAAATGATGACATTATTTACTTGTAAGTAAAGCTAGTAATTCAAGAGGGTTAGGCTTATTCATATCAAACTTAAAATATTATGTCCCTTCTAAAAAATTCATATAGCCAAATTTAACCCTAACACCTTCAGATTTCAGGCTAGCTTAAATACACAAAACTTTTTAAAAATATTTTTTCTATATTTTTTGAAACAATTTTAATTTTTAAATAATTTTATTAAGCATAAAATATTATTTTAACTTTTAAAAGAATAAAATAAAAAATAATAACTTATCAACTTTGTACTTATGTAGCTCTGTTATTATTTTATTGTATTATGTCTAATTTATTCATGAATATTTTTTTACTTGTAAATTAATGTCTTACTTGTTTAAATATTGCTCTTATCACGGTATATATAAATATTTTATATATTTTAATTAAATTATATTATTTTAATTATAATTAAGTTAATCTTAATTTAATCACGGTTAGACAACTAACTTAAAATTTCTGTCTCCATTAATTTAAAATTTTTAATAACTATTAGATAAATTATACTTTCTATTTTTAAAAATATGAAAAAATAGCCATAATTATATTATATAAAAAAATTATTTAATTATTAGTAAGATACTATTTTTCTAAATTTTTTTTTTCTTTAGCTTTTTATATTATTTAACCTTTACATATAAGAGATTTTTACTTTACTTTATTCTTAATTTTTAACTAAGTTTGACATAGACAATAACTAAATAATTATTTAAGAATATATTTTTATTTATTATGTTTATCTAGAAGTAGAGTTGAGAATTTGTACATATTTGAATTTTATTTTTAAATTATTTTTAATTTTATTTTTACTTTAAAATTAATCATCTTGTTTTAATATAAAATTTATTTTTTAAATACGCAAATGATGTATAGGACTCAAAACTTTTATTAAAAAATGGGGCTTCAAATATAAAAATTAATATTAAAATATATTTTAAATATTATTTTGAGATATTTTATTGATTAAAAATAATAAAATATGAAAATATAAATGTTTGTATTTTTTTAAAATAACTATAATAATACACTCAAATATATAGTATTTTGGTATAAAATGACATAAAATTTTAAAAAGTAATTAATATTTATTATATTTTTAAAAAATTATTTTGTTTATTCGGGTCAAGCATGAACCCAATTGGACTTGGTCTGAATTTTTTCAAGCCTATTTGAACTTACCTGAATAAATTCAAACATTAAAAAATTAATATTTTTTAGATTTAGTTTTAAATTTTTTAAGTGAGTTTGAATTAGCTTGTTGCACTTGATTTAAATTATCGACTTTACTTGTAAGAAGGAGAGCTGAGAAAAGTGGGATATATCATCCCAAATAGACTGGCTTGATGTTTTTGTGTTGGGATGGGATCGTAATTCTCTCATGGCGAGAACACATCCTCGTCCCTCCTACCCTCACAATGTGGAGGATGAGGTTCTCCCATGGTTTGTGCTTAGTAATCCTTTTACAGCTCAGAAGAAGACCTTGATGAACTGCGACCTTGGTCACCATTTTTGTTCACGAGTTAAGGAAGCTATAAAGAATGCCTCGCCAGATTATTATATATATATATATATATTTTTTTTTTTACAATATTTTGAGTTCTAATTTTTTAGCACTAACTATATGATGGTCTTGCGTGTCACATAAATTTTGAAGTCAATTATACAGTTTATAATTTATAATTAGTGCAATATTTCAATACTTGTATATTTTGCATTGAACACTACAGAAATTAAACAATGACATCATTAGTATTAATTTCTAGAGTAAACTACATTCTCGGATTTATTTATAAGCGGCTTTACGTGGGTTGATATTATATGCACCATGCATGTAGATAAATAATCCACATAAACTTATGACGAAAATAATGGCGTGCTTGGCATGCGAAAGACCAAACGGTCTTAACTGTTGATTGTTGAATGACCGGGCTCCCACCAAGACAGAACTGTGCCTGAAGTTCTTTCACTATAGTTTTCGATGATGCTAAAATGCAATCTAAATATAAAATTGAATAGAAAAGACTTATATTGAATAAAAGTAACGCGGGTTATTGCCAGCTATACGAAGCTAAGGGGAAGGCCACGAATTAAATGTATGAAAAAATCATAGTAAAATCTCATCCAAATATACCATTAACAATCAGATTTCTTGAAATATTATAAATCCTCTAAAATTTTTAGATAACTTTATGACATTAATAGGGTTAAAGATCATTTTTACTTCTAAATTATATGCAAAATGTCACAAATGCTCCTAGATTCAATCATGAGTTACTTTTAACTCTCAATTTTAAAGATTTCCTTCATAATCACCTTACCGTTTCTCATAATTAGTGCACTCACATTATATTTTTTTTAATATTTTTGTTATAAAATATTTGAGTTGAGGGAAAAAATAACTATTTGAATAGAAGTTGAAAGGTAAAAATGACTCTTAAATTAATAAAAATATTAAAAAAATATTGAGACCCTCTAATGACTAATAAATATTAAGTATTTTTAACGTCAAAGTGATAATGGAGGAAACTTTAAAATTGATGGACAAATTAAAATTGACTTATAATTAAATTTAAAGAGTATTTATGACCTTTGTGTATAATTAAGAGATGAAAATGATCTTTAAATCTAAACAATAATACATTAAACCTCTTAAATAATTTTGCTTTAGGCTCCAAAATCACTTCACACGGCTTTCCCTCAATGCAAATAGGTTAATTGATGGAAGGTGAAATGACTTTGGAAGATGTGGCGGAGATTAAGAATAATGATGAGTTCCTAACAAGTATTCTGCTGTTGGACATTTTTATGATGATTGCTCATTACTAGCTCCCCGTGACTCATGGAGATTTTTTTTTAAATAAAGATAAAAATAAAAAATAAAAAAATATCGTATAAATAAAAATAAAAATATTTTTCTCTTTATCTTATAAATAAGATTAAAAGAGTAGTATGTTATCTCTACCTCCCCTACTCGTTTTTAACAAGATAATATTACACATGCTCTTAAAGTGCTCATGTGATTTGACTTTATTTTTATTTTATATTTAATGAAAGAAATTATAAGAATTATTATTAACAAAATTTGTCAAGTATTACAATAAAAATTTCAAGATATATTAAATGCGACGTGTTTGATATCTATCATAAAATCACTTATCCAAGAGCTAAAAGGCCATGTTTGATCTCATTATTGTGTTGATATATTTATTTATAATGCTTATCAATTGAAAGAATTAAATAGTAAATTTAATAAGTAAGTAATAACATTTCTTAGATTGAATGAAACTTTAAATTCTAATAAAACATTCAAATCATTCAATGCTTGTGGAGAAGATAAAATTTTTATCAATTTAATGATAGTTTATATTGAGTAAGAAATTGCTAAAAAGCTTATCACAAACATAATAAGTAATGATTTTTATTTTAAGAAAAATCAATGAGTAAAACTTAAAAAATGAAGATATATATTTATTTTTATTGTATATTTATAAAATTGAATATAAATACATATGTTAAGATTTTTATGTCATGTTAATGAGATATATATATATATATAAAAAACTTTTTTTTTATTATCATCTCTCCTTTATCATCTCGAACTCCTTTAATAAAATTTTTTAGTTCCACTCTTGTTTAGACCGTGTCCACCTTTTTTTTTTTTTGTTGTGCCACTTTTAGGCTCTACTCACTTTTAGGTTCAAACATTTCCTAAACAAATAATTGAAATTATATGTATTCGTTTTTTATTTTAAAAACATCAAGGAAAGATTAGTAAATTAGCTTCCCACGTTTTTTCTCTTAAAATGATGAATCCTATATATCATACTCGGATAACACATCAATCCCTAAAATTACATTCATGGGTCCTCATAATTTTGAAAATTAAAAACTCTTGGTTCACAAGGAGTGCGTTATAGCTAATTAGGATTGATGTGAATTTTGACAAACAGGTTGACCGATGACTGAGTATAACTTAGCCCCTCAAATAGAATTGAGCCCATCATACTATCCTCACATAAATTAAATGGGAACTATAATGTCGCTCTAGTGACGGCTGGGCTTCAATTAATTAGTGACAACCAAAAATTGTTGGTTGCACTTAAACTGAATTAACATCATTAGCTTCGAAAGCAAAAGGCACGAGCACGCAAGAAAGCAATCGAGAATGGCAACGTGCTGAAGTAAAAACCCAGTGCCGAAATGCTGGTCGGTGGAGTTATTAATATGTGTATACAAACAAGTACGCACTGACATGATGCTCAGAAACTAGTACGGAATCATGAGAAGTACAAGTCGACGGATAAGAGATACCAGATATTGTTTCTATATGATCCCCAGCAAGTGCGTTCTTGTGTTTGGACTCCCAAGACAATATCAGAAACACGCGGTCCCCAAAGGATCTGCATCAACCTCATTTACATGTACGCAGACAGGCATGCACTAATATGCACAAGTCAACATATAATTAATAACCAGTGGCAATGCATCTAGCTATTCATTAACTAGAAATAGCTTCCGTCGCCATCTGGCTGTATATATATACATTTTAACGATCGAGGAGTGACCACTATACTTCCCTTATTCTCTCATGGCTAGCGAATCACTCTGCTTCGTCTTTCCCACACTAGTTCTGCTCATTCTCTCATCACCATTGTCGTCGGCTTCTTCTTCTGCAGTTACAGTGTCCATTGATGGCCGAGGAGATTACACCACAATCGGCCAAGCCATTGCAGAAGCTCCTTCGAACAGCGACAAAAAATACACCATCCTCGTTCGACCTGGAATCTACGAGGAGCGTCTCCACATTCCCCGCGACAAAACGAACATAGTTCTCATCGGCAACGGTCGCCATGATACTGTCATTCTCGGACACCACAATGGTGGCATGCTGTCTCAAACAGCCACAGTAGGTATGTTTAATTACTCAAATACGGCCATCCATCTACCATCTAGCAACCAATATAGTATTACTTGTCTCAGAGTTCTCGTCAACTTCTCAGCAATTCAAGGAGCGGGCTTCGTGGGCCAGGGAATATCCTTCGTCAACTCAGCTGGGCCGAAAGCGGGCCCATGCCTAGCTTTCCTGAACACGGCGGACAGGTCCGTGTTGCACAACTGCTCCATCGAGGGCTTCCAGGACACCTTGTGGGCCTCATCGGGCCGTCAATTTTACCAGGAATGTCTACGGCTCCATCGACTTCGTCATGGGAAACGCCGCCGCCGCCTTCCAGAACTACGTGCTCTACACCCGCCTCGCCGGTTTCTCCGTCCTCACCGCGCAGTCTAGTGACGACCCCCTGGAACGCACCGGTTTCGTTTTCCAGTACTGTCGTTTCACGGCGTCTACAGAGGACTCCGAGAGGCAGTTATCCGGTGCGGGCAGGGCTATTTTAGGACGGCCGTGGAGGGCGTATTCGAGGTTGGTGATCATGCGGTCGTACATAGATGATATAGTGAGTCCGATGGGGTGGGGAGAGATGGAGGGGACGCCCACCGGTAAGGCGAGTTACATAGACTTCGAGAATTAAGGGCCTCGATCGAGCACACGTGGCAGAGTGAGGTGGGTTGGTGTGGTGGAGGTGCCGGATGCGGATCAGGTGAGGGAATTCATTGTGTCCAGGTTCATAAAAGGTGACGATTGGATTCTTCCAAGTGGGTTTCCATACATTGGAGGATTATAATAATTATTTTTCTTTTTGTTAGATTAATATCTACATTAAACATTTGCTTTGGGTGATCAATAAGTACGGATTCGGTAATTGAAGGAGAAGCAAATTAAAAAGCAGGAATCTCAAAATATAATTAACGTAGTGGATCTGGGCGTCTTTTCTCGTAAAATATAATATATCCTTTTCTGCTGCGCGCGCGCAAGGCATTTCTGCATTCATAAGGTTTCGACGGATATATTCCCAGACTACTACTTACTGCGATATTAATACATGTATAATATAGTAATTAACCTGAGATTGTAATCTCATAATTCAGAACAAAATTTTTAAAAAGAGTACAATTAGATTCACCTTTCTATATTTATGTCCTTTTTTTCTGGGGGAGGGGGACCAATCCTTTAATAATTTATCATGGTATAACTTCTGAAGATAATTTGAGTTTAGTTTACTTATTTTTTCGATAATGTGACTTAGAAATGCAGCCTAATTATTTAAGTTTAGAGTTAAAAAGAATCAATAGGTCAGCCTAAACTATATAAATATATGTACTCCCTGAACTACAATATAATGTATATTTTAAAAATTCAATATAATGTATATTTTAAAAACTTTACTTGATTCAAAATATAGGGTGTTGAATAATTTTTATATTTATTTTTTAAATTATATCTTTACTTCATTTATTACTTTTTTTAAAAAAATTATTTATTAAAATTTTAATTATTATTATTAAGGTTTTTATATATGATATTTAATTAGAGTATAAATAAAAAATGTGAACATTTTTAAAATTTAAGATTTTAAATAATATTATTCAAAAGTCATGAATTAATTAAATATAACTTATAATATGAAAGGAGACTATAAAGAGCGTGACGTTAATTAAGAAGTAACAGGTATATATGTACTATAACATGTGCACATGCATACCTATATGAAACACGTTATATCTTGCAATATAAGGTTAAAGCGATTGAGTGAGTTAATTAAGAACATTAGTTCCAAACTGTTTTCACCAGTAAGCAATTAATCATTAGTCATACGGTACCGAACAGGTTCAAGTTTCACGCAGCTCAGGATTTGTTCATAATTAGGTTCAATAATTTCAATTGGCAGAAGAAAAGAGGAATCTATCCCGTCAAGCTTCTTCAGAAAATATAGTAATTTGTCTTCATTAGCTGTTTCGGGGGCATTAAGATGTGAACGCTGAAATAGACATGTACTCCTCCGATTCTATATATATTGGTTACTTTTTAAAAATATAATTTAATTCGTTTTATAAATTATTAAGTGATGAGATTGTTTTATTTTAAATTAAAATTTTTAAATTATTCTTAAAAAGTAAGAGAGATAAAGACAAGAAAAATAATATTCCCTCCATCTCAAATTATAAGACACTTTTAAATAAAATTTTATATATCAATAAACCTCATTAATATACTTAACAACCTCATCTTTTTAAAATAAAAATATAAACTTTTCAAAATACCCATCATTTAATACATTAAAAAGAAAAGAATAAAAATCATTTAATGGTTTAATTCGATCGGTATATTCGGTTCATGGACCTTGATTTGAGTCTATGAAGTATAATTGTTCATCTATTATTCTATTCAATTTTTTTCCCTTAATGTTGAAGGCCCAATAAAAAAATAACAATGTTATATCATAATTCATGAGAAAATTAATTAGTACCATTGCACTAAAAACTAAATTATAAAAATAAAAATTAAAACATCACATTATACAAAAAAATATTCCTATTACTAGTAGTAGAAAATTATTATTTACTCACCTAAATGAAATTTATTTACATTTTTAAAAATATAGATAATTTGATTGGTTTGATTTATTTAATTTTAAAATTTTTAAATTGAATTGAACTGATTAACGATTTTTTTAAAAATAAATCAAACTAAATAATTAAATAAATAAATTTAATTTAATTTTAATTCAATTTTACTCGCCCCTAAATATAGTTTTGTATGGCCGTTTTTCCGTGCCACCGTTAATGTAACGCAAGTGTCGTTTTCAAGTTAATCAGAATAAAGCAAATATAAGGACCAAGCCACCAAGGTACGGTGGTTGAGTCACATCGACGAAGATTGTGGAGTTTTTGGAAAATTCTGGGCCTGCTGGAAATTAATCCAACTTCAAATTTTGTTCAAGCTGGGTAGGTAGTGTTATCCTTATTTGTGTAGGTTTTCTCTTACAATGACATGCGTTCCATCAATAACTGAATGTTCAACGTCCAGCTTATTTGAATTAAATAAAAACCACACCTAAAATTTTAATCCAATATATTCTATATATTTCAACCTAATAGATGTGCTGACTGTTCAGCAAACTACAATGTTTGGAGAACTTGTTTCCCTTTTCCTCAAAGCATTGTCATCTGCTAAATACACTTAATGATAAGCTCTATGAATGATTGCCAATTTTTTTTAGTTGCTACTTGTTTGAACAATTTTTTTTTTCAAATTCATATTCTATGCAGATGGGATTTTTTTAATTTGATATATAAAATAAAATGAAAAAAAACTAGAAAAATGTTTTAAAATATCATTATACTAGTCATTACTTAAAAAAATTAAAATATATAAAATTCAACTATTAAATAATAATCAAAGTAATACAATTAATATTAAACATTTAAAATAATGTTTCTTTCCTTGCATCAAACAAAACAAGCTCTCTAAATTATGCCTGGAAAAGTATATTTAAATAATTATGGGAGAGTTACATATTCCAATTAGATCCGACAAATGCTTAAATCGATCCAATTACAGTCCAATAAAAAACATCAAAAAATTTAAAAGGGGTATTCAAATTTAGTATCTAACCATAACTCAAATAGGTGATCAATATCTGTGAGTAATAAAAGAACATAACATATATGTATTTAAAAAGTCTAGTTAAATGAATATTTAATATATGAATATATTTATTTATTTATAAATAATCAAGTTCACTTGTATTTCATAGAGGAACAAAATTTATCATGTGATTTTTCTCAAACAAAGATTGGTATGCTAATTTTTAAAATCATGCACGTTTTTAGGTGCACTCTTGTGTGGTCGTTGAGTTTGTTATTTTCATACATCCGGGAGTGTCATGTCATGTGGTGGTTACATTAATGATGTTAGCAACTTATAATTAACGCACCCTTAATTAGTCAAGGGGATTGGAATTGTTCGTTGAATAATCACTTTCAAAAGATGCCTTAGCCTTTCAAATGGAACTCTCTCTATCGCTCTCTAGCCCAGCAGCATTAAGTGTGCCCGATAACTTTGAAGTATAATTAATTAGCTAGCCAAGGAATATATAATGTTCCACAAAATATGCAAACAGTGCATAATTATTTTTTTAATAAAAAAGTGCTCCCAAAGTGGATAAAATTTGGTAAAGCTATTTTTAAAGCAATTAAAATTCTTGAGAGATAATATATCAATAGGTGTTAGTTATAGTGAAAAGAGCCATCACCGTTTAAACATAAGATCTTAAGTTTAAGTTCATGTGAATGCAAAAGACGTCGATTAGTTGGTTCAATTGTAGAATTCATCAATTTGTGCGATCTTAAGAAATTCATTTAGCAGGCAATTGGTTCAGTTGAATGTACAACTTGATAAATCAATAAATGCATAATTCATTTATAATTTTTGGGTTTGCTAGGGTATTTTTATAGTTGGCATTCGTGGTTAAGAAATTTGAACATCGTTTGAGGGTTTGTTTTCTTGCCAACGACGCTCTCTATACACACTCTCTAAGAATAAAAAACCCCAAGAATATTTTAATTTATACAACACATACAATCCATTCAAGTTAATTTTGACTTGAATTATACAACTGAACCAACCGGCTGGGAATGAAAAGAGTGTGAAAAATAAAGTTTGGCTCTCTTGACCATCAACTGCGTACTAACCACTCAACCACGTGTACCTACTAGCTAGCGAGATACATGTAATAAAAAAAGACTCTTAACAATTTTGTCAGAGTGAATTATCTATCTGGTTCCATTTCTCACTGTTTGCAACGTACCAAACAGCCACTTTTCTAAAGTTGGTGGCCAATTAATGCCTCACCATACACCATGACGATAAATCCCAATTCCTTGCACTATCCACCTTCCATGGCTCTCGGGCTACGTTTTTCCTTTCCCAGCTTCATATTTTTTTATAGAAAAAGAGCGAATGATGACAAAACTTTAACTCACCATCACTTCCACTTCTCACATTCCATACACACCACGTTCAAAGCCAGAGATCAGACTAGCTAGATATATACGTAGGTGGCCATATAATTAATCAACAACACTTGGATATAGCAAAATCACTGTGGTGATTGATCTCGTCCAATGGCTAGCTTCATGATAACCTCTATCCTGCGTTTGATGTTTTTTGTACAACTTTCTTATTCTTCTTCTTCTTCGTCTCATCATCATGGACGCGTAATAGTGGTGTCAAAGGATGGGGATGGAGATTACGCGAGTATAAGTGAAGCAATAGCACGAGCTCCGAGGCTGAGTGGAAAGAGAATCAGAATAGAGATCAAAGCTGGAATCTACGAGGAATATCTCAGAATCCCCTCCGACAAGACCAACATCGTCCTCGTCGGAAGCGGCACCCAAATTACAAGGATTACTGGCAATCGAACCACAGCCACCGATCAAAGTGCCACACTAGGTATATATATATATATATATATATATATGCACGCGCACACATTTATATGTCTGTAACATAATCTCTATATACATGTTGCCAGCCCTAGCTCTCTGAGGATCGAGATATTTTATAAGTAAAAATGAATTCTACTATATTGTGAGTTGTAAAGTTTACTCTATTTTAATTTTCATCAGA